CACTAGCCAAAAATAATAGTTCTAATACATAACAAAAAAATTGCTTTTTTGATTAAAAAAAATGAATCATGGTCTAAATAAAATTTTGGTCAAACATGTTATTTATTTTTTCTTTTTTCTACAATATTAGAAGAGTGGAAAGCTCCTTGGTATCAACATGTTTGCTTGTATGGTAATTTTTTATTAGCTAGGGTACTTTAGTCATTACAATTCGTTTTCCTGCTTTCATCTTATTCCACGTGTTGTGTGGCCACCATTTTGTTGTGTTGTCCATCTATCGATACTTCATCACATTCTCTCATTCACCATAGGTTCTTCATCTTGCAGAGTTTCCTAGACGAAAAATTGGAAAACTTCCCGATTCTCCAAGCACTATATTTTTATGAAGTTTTTCATCTCCCATAAGTATTGGCTTTTCATATTCAAATCGTCTCCAAGTATTACTGCAATTTTGAGGTAATTCTTGTTGTCTCTCTATTTTTCGTTGATTTTCTTTTGAGCTTCAATTTTTCTTTGATTTCTACGTTTGTCCGAATAGATTTGTAAAGTTTTGATTTTAGATTCAGTTCCATGGGTTGATGAAGTTTGAATCTGGAGTAATTGAATGTTGAAAGTTAAATCACTATCCAATAGTTAAATCTATTGAAGTGGAATATGCACCCTAATTGTTTGATGATATGACTGACAATTTGTTCATTTGGAGTGAGTTGCTTCAACAAAGAGTTTTGCTCAATGTTATTGGTGACTTGGGGCTTTCGTTAACTAGACTTGAGAACAACGTCTGAAGTCCTTTTTTCTGCTTTTTCGTACTTGCTTAATACACTAATTCTCTTTCATTCCGTTAATCTATACCTTGATTGAACCAGACCTCGTTTTACTAACTTTGAATATAATTTATATTGGATGGAGTGGTTTCTATCCCAATTGTCCGGAAGCCATTTGTAGAATGCCTTACAAGTAGTATATAATGATATCAGCCATGCTGAGGTAAATGAAGTTAAGTTTCAAGGAACACATTTAGTGTAGTATGTTTTTTTAGATAGTTGAAATCTATTATGCTTAAATTGTCTTTAATTTTGATTTGCTAAAAATTATTAAAATAAATTGATCTCTTATGTAGGAATTTTAATATTTTCATTGGTGAATAAGGATCGACAAGCATAAGATATTGAAGTTGATTCTTGAAAACTTTATTCACTATATCTCATTTGGTTGGTGGTGAATCTTCTAAGTTCTAACCCTCATTCACATGTTCCATTTAATCTTAGCTTTATAAATTTATGATGTGGCATGCGTAAAAGTCACTCGAGATTTTTTTTACTGCAAATCTCAAAACTATTTAAGGAGAACATATTAGTGACTAATATGATTAATTTTGGATAATTTAAAAGGAAAGAAAAGTAATATAATTTCCCGCACAAGACAATAATTGCATATTCTTTGAAGTAAATGACCGATTCATCGATAAGAACAACGAGCAATAATATTTAAATATTTTATTTCTAACTGCACAAGTTCATGGTGAACATATTATGTCATTAAACCTTCAATTGATAGGGTTAATATTATTCTATATTTGTTGGTAAAATTTTAAATATGTACTGACATAATGTATTGATGACATGGTGTATTTGAAGATGTAGGATTATGTGCTTGATCATATCCATCACAAATAAAAAAATGAACCAAACTTCAGTATAATAGATAGTGTTTACAGGTCCCCGAGTGAGATTCAGCAGGAAAGATTGAAAAATCTGAGCTCTATTTTAGAATCTCCCGCAAAGAAGAACTCAGGGATGGAAATAAGCTCCTAAAGAATGCACATTGTTATTCTCTTTCCCAGATTGTTCTACTCAGGTTGTTGTTTTGCCTTTCTGATTAGTTGTTCCTTCAAATTATTGGAGCCTAAGTTTTTTTGTTGGTAAATATTGTAGATTATAAAAAATGGTATTTTTAACTCAGATAACACTTTCAAATATCTTTAAATTTTGATGCCTGATTGTTTCGTTAGCTGATGAATATGTAGATTAGAATGGTTCAGTCTTTTGAGTTGCATGTTGAATTTTTAGTCAAATGTCTTGATGGATCACTAGCTAATCGTTGAAATTCATCCGACTCATAATTTTAATTGGGGACAAAGTATAGTATCATAGTTTTGCCAAAATTAATGAACTGTTTGGAGGCGAAAAGAGTGATTCTTTTCGTTGGACTACAAATTGACCATTTTCATATATTTTTATCTGTTATCATCAAAGTTCACAAATATTTTGAGGAAGCTGGTAGGTGAGAAATGGATGTACTAAGATCAGATAAGTTTACTATCAGCAAACTCTTCAGCTAAAAAGAGCTTACCAGAAGGTTAATTGGACAAGGCTGATTTACAACAAAATATACCCTCCTAAATGGCCAACTTATCCTATATAGCAAGTTGTTTACAAAGAGAAGGTTAGCCAGATGAAGATGCTTGGAGGATGAGAAGTGTGCACTACACATCAAGGATAATGAGTATGCTGAACATCTCTTTTTTATGTGCCCTTATTTAGTGCAAGTCTGGAATACCATGCTAATATAGCTGCAAATTCAAAGACAAGCTCAAGAATGGAAGTGGGATGAATTAGAAAATTACAAACTTCAAAGACAAGAGTTTACATGCTGAAGTTTTTAGAATGACATTAGCTGCGGGAGTTTATATGGCGAAAAAGAAATTAGAGGATCTTCCAAACAGAGAACAGAAGGCCATAAGTCCTCAGCATGCTCATACTAGGGAGTTAGTGAAAGCAACATTGTTTAGAAAGTTATTGGCTATCTGGTAATGTTTCATTGTGAAATTTGAAAAAAAAAATAGTTTTTGTTTTCAAAGTGAAAAATGATATATGAAATTTTGAATTGTGTTTGGTCATGAATATATATTGGAGTTGTTTTTGATTTTTTATGACTAATTGAAGCGCAAGTGTATAGACAAGTTTAGCATATAAATTGATCCATTCTCATCTATTTTTATCTGTGAGTTTCAATAATCGAAAGTGAAGTGAAAAAATTTAATGGTTGAATGGCAGATCTAAATGCTATTATAGGTCCAACAGATATCAGTTATACAAGAATCGCAGTGATCATAATTGTTGAGAAAGAAGCTTTGTGGAGCTTACACATCCATCATTTCATATGTATACTCATGTCAGATATTTTCATAGTTACTGCAACTTCCGTTACAGTTTCTAATAACACACTTGAGTCATGAAGTGTGGTTAATATTACTTAAATACTATTAAGCCCGTGCGCGCACGGACAAAAGTTATCTAGTAAATGATATAAAAATTAGGAGGAATAACTAGTTTTAAGACTATTTATAGATATTTAATTTCTATTTTTATATAATTACGAAATAATTATCTTTTTGAGATAGAGATAATAAAATACTATTAGCTTAAAGTGCAACACAATGTGCTAAAATTCAAACTCAATAATCAAATACGTGAGTTCTCAATTGTAAAATCATGAACTCGAAATATAATCTTAAATCTTAATCTACTTCAAAAAACTAGAGAAAAAATAATTAAAAAAATAAATAAATAAATATATATATATATATATAACCAACTCAAGGTCTCCTTCCTTGACTCTTGACTCTTGAGTCCTCGTTTTGGTATGTATTGTGTTAAGAGTTTGAATTCATGGATAAATCTTTTAATTCACGAAAACATATTAATATTATGAATTGACTTATTTAATTTGATTCCTATTAACTAAAGTGAGATGTAATATGTGAGGACCATGTGAATTATAAGAAGAATAATATAATAACATCTAGGTTAATTTAAAAATATTTTGTCCAATTTATATCTTACCATTTTTAATATGTTTAGATTTTTTTTCTTCTAATTTCAACAATTAGATCTCACATGACATATTTAAGATCATAAAATCAAATAACATTTTATACATTATGTATATCTTTGATTCAAGATCATAAAATTTTTAAATATTTTTTATTCTATGGTTATTCAAACTATCAAAGATTAATTATTAGCTTTTGAAATTCATCATCTCTCTTTCACCCCCCGACAAATTTATGTTTCTTTTCCAAGTGAAATGCTTGTGTCTAAACATAACTTCAAATTTCATAATTTTTCAATAACTTTTAAAACTTTTCTCCTCCAAATATCACAAAATCCATTGGTAAACGCTAGTTTAGAAAAACAAATTGAAAAGAGCATAATCATTTTTAGGCTCAATGCACAGTCAACTCTTTAAACTTGTCAGAATATTTATAAAAAATTTAATTGGATACTTCTAATTCAATTTTGAAGAAAAAAATGTGCATATTTTCATTCTTTTGTTAGATAATTAAGCTAACCATATAAATATGTCATTTTCATTAATTATATGTATCTACCTCAAGTCCAAATATATCAATTTTATCATACTTTGACATAAATCATATCATTAATAACAAAGAGACACGTGACAAGCTCAAAGTCAAATGACCAATCCTATTCTATATATCTATTTTCTATAAAATACTAATTTACATATGCAAAATCAACTGTTAATAACTTTCTATTGTCCTATTAATTAATAGCCTCAATTATTTTACGAACAATTTTATACTAGAAACAAGTCAAATTGCTACATGTATTTGTTTTTGATTTAATCAATTCAATAATATCATTGAGGGCTTGAAAGATATATTGCTATTAGCCTATTATTTGTATCATGATACAAATTACATTAATTTTTAATTATTCAAAATTCAAACTTAATTTAGTTACAACAAGAAAGAAGATAATGACGAAAAGAAAAGTAAATGTGTGTTAAACAGGTGAGTTTCTAATACTTAATTTTGAACTTAATTAAGAGTAAATCTGTATGAAAATTATAATAAGGTTGGATGGGAAGTAAAATAACAGGGGTATATGTGAATAAAAAATATAAGGAGAAATATCTTTAAAGAATGATTATAGCGGAAAATATCTTTGGAGAAGAAAACCCTAGTAATATCGGAAATTTGAGTCAAAAAAGAAAAATCTCCCTCCATCTGCCAAAGGTGTCAGGAAAAACGTTTTCTCCATTTTCCATGTTTACTCTTGTCTCACCGGCGTTAGTCTTTAGGTTTTTTGAAGTATTATTGTGAATGCGGCACACCTCAACTACTAATCTCTTCGTTGTCTCTATGGCTGCGGAATCCCAATCGCAGAAGAAGACTTACTGTGTCGTCGGAGATATCATGATTATACCCAAGGACTTCGACCTCTCTCCTACCAAGGACCGTCAAATTAACCTTCAACTCAACTTCCCTGATGTCGGACGAGTCTTTAATGTAACTTCATCACCTACTATTTTGAGTTTATCACAGATTTGTAGCTCAAATGTTGCTTTTATTTTATCGCTGCAGGATTTTATCAGGACTCGAGAAGTTGGTGAATTTTTCAGTGGGGCTTTGGCTGGGGCGATGACCAAGGCCATTCTAGCTCCTCTTGAAACCATCAGGTTGGTAAAACAACATGTTAATAAGTGCATTGAGTCTTTTTTTTTTATAAATAAAATAAAATAATACATCGGCTAGAAAATTTTACACAAACATAGGGTATTAGAGCGCTAAATATTAACTTCTGTCAACAAATTGCTGTCATTTGTTGTACAGCTTGGTTAGAAAGGTATCACATAATTTTTAAATATAGGCCTATTCTTTTGCTATATTTTTGGTCCATGCAGTCTTTTATAAATGATGCAACTACTTTGGTGGACATGCCATGTGTGATCTTCTGTAGCACTCGCATAGTGTTACTGTTCATCTATAGTAGCTACCATGTTACCTTTTTTTTAAAATAAATAAATAAATAATATAGCTGTTAGTGAAGCTCCTCATATAGGATATGAAATTTGACTTGCAGGAATTTTTATTTGCTTTAAATTGGCTTACAATTCATTTGGTTATGTTACCTAATTTTGGTATTTAAAATATGCAGGACAAGAATGGTAGTTGGTGTTGGGTCCAGAAACATTGGTACAAGTTTTGTTCAGGTTATTGAACAGCAGGGTTGGCAAGGGCTGTGGGCAGGTAACACAATTAACATGCTACGGATAATTCCCACACAAGCAATTGAACTCGGGACATTTGAGTGTGTCAAGCGAGCAATGACTTCGGCACAAGAGAAATGGATGGATACTGGTAGCCCCAAGCTGCAGATTGGTAATGCTAGCCTGAGCTTTTCTCTCTCATGGCTATCGCCAGTTGCTGTTGCTGGTGCTGCTGCTGGAGTTGTAAGCACACTTGCATGTCATCCGCTGGAAGTGCTGAAGGTATTTTGACTCGAGAGTTTTGTTGTGGGAAAACAATAGCTTTGCTTTTCAAAATGTTGATGACTATCTTCATAGTTATATCATTAAGTTATTGTGCTTGTGGCAAGGAGAAATTATCTCACATTTTTAAGTGCTGATTCAACGTGCTTCACAGGATCGGTTGACGGTGAGTCCTGAGGTCTACCCCAGCCTACGCATTGCAGTTCACAAGATTTACAAGGAGGGTGGAATTGCAGGCTTGTATGCTGGACTTGGGCCAACATTGATTGGCATGCTCCCATATAGCACTTGCTACTATTTCATGTACGAGACAATTAAGAAATCATACTGCCGTGCACAAAAGAAAGAATCTCTAAGTCGTGCGGAGATGCTTCTAGTTGGAGCTTTCTCAGGTAAGAATCTTGAATCAGACACACTCTCTCCTTGGTTCAAATTTTCTTGAACTTCATAGTGATCTGCTATTTGTGGTAAAGAGGATTGATATGAACAGTTCTGCATATCAACAATGAGGTTTCTTAAATCACAAAGGGAGTTTCAGACAAGGAGATCCTTTGTCACATTTCTTATTCTTATTAGCTATGGAAAAGATGAGCAGAGGCCCCTGCCTCTCCCACATACAAGTACACAGCACTCGGCTACCTACTACCTTTCTACGTTAATCTTCGACCTTCATACCTTCCTATTTAGGGTCTATGTTTTCAGTAAGCTGAAAATGTGCCATGTCCTGTCTAATCCTCTCCCCCAAATTCTTCTTCAGCCTACCTCTACCTATCCTAGGACCTGCTATAGCCATCCCCTCTCACACCTCCTTATTGGTGCATCCGTGCACCTTCTGTTCACATGCCATGCCCCGAATCATCTAAGTGTCACTTTCCTCATCTTGTCTGCCACAGAGGCCACTCCCACCTTGTCTTGTGTAACTTCGTTCCTAATCCTATCTCTACTAGTATGCCCACACATCCATCTGAGCATCTTCATTTGTGGCACCTTCATCTTTTGTAGGTGTGCATTCTTGACTGGTACATTTATATCATTGCTTAAGAAACACCTTATTCCTAGTCCAAGTCCTTACTTCCGGGAAGATTTGTGTATCACGATCAACACAAAATCTGGAAGTGCTGACTTGGAAATTAGCATTACAGGTGCCTGTTGAACTCCTCCAGTGGCAGTTCAAGATTATACTAGAGTTAGTCCACTGGACTTCGTTAGCACAGATTACAGCACTGTTATGCTTTGATTTGATAATTCCTTATCCCAATTACTGGATTTAACCTTTTAAGGCCCTTCCTATGTATGCCACTGGTTGGGCAGGTCAAAAGAACAGGACCAGAACAAAGATGTAAGGTTGCTGTAGAATACTGGAAGAAAAATAGTAAAGACAGAAACAAGCCTGTGATGCTTTTCTCCCCCGATGCACGAGGTCAAAAGAACAATACCAGGACTAGATTTAACATCGCTGCAGAGAGGAGAAAGGACATTCATTGTACAGACTCCGGAAAAAGGAGCATCGTACATTTAAGTATATTTTTGACCAATCATTATGGTGTGTAGTAGCTATAAGATTATAACAGAGGTGCTAGCAAGGTGACTAAGAAGGGATATGGTTGAACTTACATGCAGAATTCTTTTGCTGGGGGGAGACAAATACTAGAGCAATTAGTTCTAATGTGCTGAACAATTGATTTTAAGTCTAATTGCAATAATGTCGCTGAATCATGTACCCTCTCTGATGCAGAGATGGTCCTGAGAGCAGGATACAATGGGATCTTTATGAAAATCCTAGCAAGAAATAATTTGGTGTAAAAAAACTATGAGCATTTGGCTAATACAAGGAGATAACAACATGATGTTCTCTCCTTAAATGTTAAATTCCCATTCCTTTGATATAATCACACTGATAGTGGTCAGCATAGAACAAGAGAAGTAAATCAGAAAATTTCTGTAGGATGACGCCAATAGATATAAAGAGTGCGATCTTGTTATTGGAGTGGGTTTCTATTTCAATGGAGGAGGAGAATCAGTTCTGATAGATATCATATACACCCTCCGTTCCTTTTTATATGTCACATTTTTAGATTGCACTTGCATTAAGAAATTAAGTAACTTTACCCTTCTACCCTTATTTCATGTTTTCTTAAGTCAACTTTTCAATAAATGATGAATATGCTAGATTTCAAAAATTAAAATACATTTGGATGACTATTTAAATTTTTTGAGTTTATTTTCAAAATCAGATTTTATAGAGTAGTGAATGGAGAGAGTAATTGAAGTACTCCAATGAATATAATTACTTATTAGTTTTTCTAGGTTGATCAAAGTATATATTTTCAAGGCTAATTAACTACTCTATCAAGGGTATAATAGGAAGAATATGGTAATTTATGCATTGATTTTATGAAATGACAAGTATTATGGTCTAACTATTTATAGGAAGGGTTGACATATAAAAAGAACGGAGGGAGTACTAAACAAGGAGACAGTCTTTCTAAAACAAACAAACAAGGGGTGACAGTGTAAATCTTCATATATTTGATTTCCTAAAATAAAGTAGAAATTTGGACTTTGCGAGGCAAGTCAAAGGAATTCTTCATTGTTAATCTCAAGCTTCTATATGTTAGTATAATGTTCTATTCTTTGAGGTAAAGTATTGTCCACTTTTGAAGATCCTTTAACTGCAAATAGGGATATGGTACTACTGGGGAATATCTGCTGTTGCTTTTAACCCTGATGAGACTCTTATGTTTTGACCTGCCACCTTTTGTAGACAGATTACAAGATTACCATGTGATCTAAAGAGTTAATGTTATTGTTGATCAGGTTTAACAGCTAGCACTATTAGTTATCCATTGGAGGTGGCGAGAAAGCGGCTAATGGTGGGTGCTTTACAAGGTAAATGTCCACCTCACATGGTCGCAGCACTTTCAGAAGTTATTAGGGAGGAGGGTTTGTTAGGCCTTTATAGGGGCTGGGGTGCAAGTTGCCTAAAAGTAATGCCATCATCAGGCATTACTTGGACTTTCTATGAAGCTTGGAAAGATATATTGCTTGTTGATAGACGTCATGTGTAACAGCAGACAAATAGTAGCACAGGAAATGAAATCTTATTATTATGCGCTCAAGCTAGAAGCTGGTGATGGTAAGAGTTAAACGTGGTATCTGTCATCATGAGATTTGTTATTGATGCGCATCCACAAATTTTGCTTCCCATCTTCCCTGCTCTTCCGTGGGCACAAAGAAATTTCTTTAACATTTCTGTAAACGACAGAATATGCATTTATGATTATTGCAAGAATTACAAGCTTTTGCCTTGGGAATTTCTTCAAGTACTGTTTCTCAGGGGTCATTGTTGTGTACTACTTGGTGTGACTAGATTAAACTCTAAGCATAGCATGGGCAGAGGCAGTGAGGCTTTGAGAAGCAAATGGGCCAGGTTTTTTCAATTTTCCTACATGTTAGAAATGGGAGCAAGGGGGCTCTTGATTTCGGTGCACTGGAGTGAACATGTTTTTTTATTCTTCTTTTCTGTCTTCTTTTTTTTTGCATCGCAGCCTCTGGTACGATATGCTTAGGGAAAGGTGGGATACCTGCCAATTTTTGGTTGTCTTCAGATGTCACATGTTTGATGTTCTAAATTGCTCCCATAAGTTGCATGATGATGAAAAAAGTTCTGTTATGGTGATTGTGAGAGGTCATGAAACTTGACAGAGTCAGTTTTGCTCTCCCTTTCCCTTTAATCTTTATTTACAGTGTACCTTACCTTTACTGGTTTCAGTATTATTCTTCCTTTAAAAACATCATTGAGCAAACCCTTAAGTCATTTTTCAGAAAATAAAGACCCTCTGATGAGTCGGCCTCAAATGATCCTTAGATGTATGGAATAGACAATATTGTATTCTTACTCATTCTAACTTTTAAGGCAAGTCTTTAGTTTCTTCCCTGACGAGTCCACAATAATCTTTAATTTTCCAGCAACTTAAACATCAATAGAAAAGGGCACCACCATTGTGTAATTGAGTTTTAGTGCGAAGAGAATTTTAGAAGAAAAATATAATTTCAACAGACATGATGCTAATGAATTCCAACAAATTTGTATTAGCGCCAAGTCAGTGGGAGCAAAATGCTCCGGATTTGGTTCTAAAAGCTTTCGTAAAAGAGATCTCAATCATCCCACTTGGGTGGTAAATGAGTGAGTTTGTCATTTCTTTCTATTAGATTTCCTCTTTAGTTTTTCAGTTATGATCCTTTTAACTCAAAAATGAGACTAACATGACTGTTGGAAAAACTAGGGAGTGTTCTTGTAATTTTGTGGTACTATATAAAAGGGCCCTGCTCTAACATCTAACTTGCAACCGCAATACCCTGATTCCCCTGCAACCACCTTTCCAGAGAAGAAAAAAAAACAACCTTATGGCATGGAACAGTCGGAGATGTTTCCCTGAATTGCTTTTGAGCATATTTGTAGAAAGCCACGTCCAAAGCAAGCAAATCTTACTAATTTAGTATGCACTTAAATATTTTCTCCCATAATACATGCTTCGATTATTCAAAATATCAACAATCTTGGATATAGTCGGCAAATAAAACAACACCACTCTCTCTCTTCATGACTGGAGAATCAATGAGCTTAAACAGTAACCACCTAAGGGACATACAGGTACTTTGCATACTGCTGCTTACTGAACAATCAACAGTTTGCCTGCCTGCAAACAATCCCACCGTCCACCGAATGAGTAGAAAACTCTTTGTTCAACGATCTAGGGTTCACATGTTCCAATATCTGCATGACAAATGGTAGAATGTGCAAAACATGTATGGATAGATCAAAGCACTAAAATCCCCCAAAACATGTCACAAATAATCAGACAACGGCAGCAACAAATAATAGCAGTTGCACAAATAAAGCAGAGCACTTAACCTCTACACACCTTCATCACACAGCTGTTCAAATCGAGCCACTATGTGTTTTCCATAGGTGTATTTCTTCAAAGCATGAAGATGAACTCTGATTCGGCTTAGCAGAATTTCCCGGTGCTTATTGTTGCTAATCTCGAGAATCTTCTGGACCACATAATTTGCAAATTGGTCCTTCATCATTGTCTACCATGAGAGCCAAAATTGCCCCGTGAATAAGTCAATTTAGGCAAAAACACATTTGTCATTGCTTCGAAAAAAATAAGCACTTCACATTCACCAAATAGGAAAGTGAGAAAAATGACATTAGTTCTACACAAAATTCTAGACATACAGCTGAGACCACACTTCCTACCAATTAGACTTAGGGTCAATTAAATACATTACTATGTCAGTCTAGGTGGACTAGCCCAAGTGACAAGGGTAAGCCCCTTAAGAGTCTAAAGCTTCTGCCTTCCTGGAAGCGTAGTTAGTTGCATAGTTCCATAATCTTTTCCAAACTACTTTCATAGCTATTAGCTTCACCATTGTAAACCACCTCTTCCCATGGCGGATAGATTGTACTTGCGTTTTATATCAATTGGAAGAAAAGAGAAACACCATTCATGCAATACCTTACCAAAAACATGTAATAGGATAATAATTTCTTTTTTTCAGTAATTGATAGGACAAGAAAATTTATCCCAACCCCCATATTAATCCCAAGACTTCAGGATCAAGTAACCCTGCATTCAAAAGCTTGTTGATCATACTCCCCCCCCCCCCCCCTCCCCCAAAAAAAATAAAATAAAAAAAATAGAGAACAGAATATACCATGTTAAAACAATGCATGTACGAAAACAATCAAGGAATGCATCCTAACTCATCTCTCTTGCATAGACTATTATTACATGTGCATTAAAAAAGGAAAATGATCGGCAAATGAAGATTGGTGATGCCTACGAGAGAGAGAGAGAGAGAGAGAGAGAGAGAGAGAGAGAGAGGGTGGGTGGGTAGGGTAGGCATACAACTACTACAAATAGGTAGAGCAAGAGAGTGTGTGTGTGTGAATGAAACTGTTAGATGATGAGATAGTGGACAAAACTAAGAGCTGTGAATTAAACTCATCCCACAACATAAAGACCGGCGGGCATAGCTAGTATACCACTGCTTCATACCAGGGCTTTAAGAAAACCAAAACCAGAATCCTTTCCTTTTGAAAACAAAAAGAAGTATTGTAACAATTGATGCATAAAATCCTCAACATACTGAGAAAAGGTCTTTTCCCTTTTCAACTAACAATTTATTTGTGCTGTCCTTTTCATTCCTACACTCTTATTCTTTGGCTTATATCTATTATACTTCGTTTCCCTTCTTTTTTTTAATAAGGTAGCAAGTACTTCTTTTTCCCTTCTTTTAGGTCACTATAGGGTCCTAATTAGGATCTACTCAGTCAGTACACTAATTCACTGATAACATGTTTTGCAGTGACCCAGATCTTGCAGTGTCCCATCCAATAAAAGGTCAAACACCAAATAGTATTATTCCACTGACCCATATCAAATAGAGTAATTTCCCTAGATAGTCACCCATGTTTGGGAAATTACCTAATAATATCACTTTTGTTTGTTTTTTTAGGACTATAATCTCACCCAACTTTGCATATTTTCCTCAAAATATACTTGACACAAAAAAAACATCTTTATCTCTCCTAATGAATGCCGTGTCATATTATTCTCTTTTTACTAATAATTAAAAGGCAATAAAAACTTTTTAAATCAACCTATATGATATACTTGGTAAAAATAATAATTACATTACGCAAAGTGAACATTTTAAAACAAACTCATGTTTATTTTATGTTATTATGATTAATACTAATTATTTATTCAAAATCATTTTTCAAATCATTCGTTCTTTAAGTTCTTATAGAATGTGGACTTTAAAAATAAGTAAAAGTGAACGAAAAAAAAGTGATGTTAGAGAACAATTTTCACGTACTCATAAAAAATCAAAAGTATTATATCGACTAACTCTTTTTACGGATTTTTTTCTAGCAACTATTCCCTCTGTCCATTTTTATTTATTCATTACACTATAAATAATCATTCATTTGTTACTTGTTTATTTTAGAAAATCAAGTGATAATTTATTACTTAATTCTTAATTCACTGTTATTATTAATTATAGTCATTTGCCAATGCCCTTTTTAAAATATAAAATTTATTATTTTCGAAGATTATATAGTAAAATTATCTTTATTATTCCTTAAGAAATATGTCAAATTAATACTGAACAAGTAAAGATGTAAATATGGACGGAAGGAGTAGAAACTAAATTTCCCAGTTAAAAAAAAAGAATAATATGATATGACATTCCTATTAAAGTGTGCACTTTGCATATTCTTTAAGAAATTAATGAATGAATGAATTGAGAAATGATTTTAGAAAATAATTAATGTTAAATGTAATAATAAAATAAAAAATGTCTATCTCTTAATATTCCAAAGTAAAAAACTAAAAATGATAAATAATCAAGAATTATTTTTTTAGTTTTTTTTTAATGAATATAACATATGAGTTATTTTAAAATGTTAATTTTTTAAATATAAAATGAATAATGTGACATGGCATCTCAATAGGAGAGAGAATAAAGTTTTTTTTTTGTCAAGTATATTTTGAGGAAAATATGTAAAGTTGGGTGATATTGTAGTCCTAAAACAAACATAAATGATATTACTAGGTAATTTCTCAAACATGGGTGACTATCTAGGAAAATTACTCGGTCAAATATCTAAGGTGCACATTAGAATCTGTTATATAAATGAACTTTCTCCTTCCACATGCAGAGACCCTTTCTTCCCTAGGCAGAATCCTTTGGACAATTTAACAAAAATGTCTACCATCCAAAAATAGATCTTTTGCAGCTGGCATCAAATTCTTATAAAAACAATTTCAATATTTCCCATCATTTCAAAAATCCATCAGCTAACCTTGCAATCTAAGAATTAGGACATCATCTTCCCCCCTATTACAATCTGTTGAACATTTATAGTTAATTCCACTACATAATAATAAAAGAAAAATGGAAAAGAATGCAGGGTTAAATTTGTTTGCACTATTAGGTCACTTTAAAAATTAGAAGTAATTACACATAATAAGTGAAATTTGTAGAATGGAAAATAAAATAAAAAATCTTCAACATGTTAAATTACACTGATAACTTCTCCTAAAAGGTTCTCGCAAAGTCTAAATTGGAAAAGTTATCTTGAAGTGAAACAGGACGATAAAAAGGTAGCAAGCTGATGAGGCTAGAGAAAGAGCTAGGGCATAATTCCAAAGAGCAAATTGTTGATATACGACTCCTATTTGCATTTTTCAAAAACGATCCTCTGATGGAAGAATTCTAGGTTTTATATCTCACTGAAGC